AAATAAAATAAAAAAATTGTAAAACAAAATGAAACCAAAAAAACCCCCCTGCATTCAAGAGAGATATGATGAATGCATGCAAGTGATAGTGTCAGTGAATTACCATGTAGTGTAAGAATAAGACACAGAGCCTTTTTTCTATATGGAAAAACAGGGCCTCACACTAACCAGTAAAACAACTCACATATAGTCCAATATATGACCATCATGGCACCAGTATGGTATAGATACCAAGTACATAGAAGTCAGGAAAAAAGAAGTTCCAAGTGTGTCCTGAAGTAGTCAAAAACTGTTTCATGTAGGTGGCACCTGTGACTCAGGGGGTGGGGCACCAGCCCCATATACTGACGGTGGAGGGTTCAAGCCTGGCCCAAGCCAAACTGCAACAAAAAATAGCTGGGCATTGTGGTGGGCACCTGTGGTCCCAGTTACTCATGAGGCTGAGGCAAGAGAATCGCCTAAGCCCAGGAGTTGGAGGTTGCTCTGAGCTGTGAGCCCACAGCACTCTACTGAGGGCAATAAAGACTCTGTCTCTAAAAAAATAATTTAAAAAAAAACTGCTTCATGGAAGTAAAATGAGAGCTCACAGTGAAAAAGGACAGTATGTGGATGTAAAAATGCAACATGATCAAATGCATGGACACCAGTCCTTATGTTATCTGACATTGGCTATAGCATTCAACAAAATATACCCCTCTTCTTCCTCAGAATAATTTTGACACTTGTTTCTAAAACATCTACCTCTCCTCTTACCATATCCCTGATACTACATATTTATTCTACTTGGTTGGGCTCTTCTTATCTCAATCTCTAAATATATGTGGATCTCGGTGTTTTTTTTTTGTTTTTTTTTTGAGACAAAGCCTTATTCTATCACTCAGGCTAGAGAGCTGTGGCATCATAGCTCACAGCAACTTTAAACTCCTGGGTTCAAGTGATCCTCTTGCCTCAGGCTCCTGAGTAGCTGGGACTACATATGCCTGTCATGACGTCCAGCTAATTTTTCTATTTTCAGTAAGGACAGAGTCTCACTCTTACTCAGGTTGGGACCGCTTACTTTTTTCAACCAACACCCACTCCTCATGTCTTCTCATCAAGTTCCACTGCTTTAATGGCCCCTATCCACAGAAAAATGCAGTTATAACATCAGAACAAACCTAACAGAAAAACAGTAATCAGTAAGTGTATGCAGCAGTGGGGCCAATGCAAGTCTAAATTACCATGTCTACCTTGAGATGGGAATTGATGGTGGAATTTTCCAAAGGCCTTCAAAATGGTAAGAATTAACAGGAGCAGCAGAGACTTCCAGAAATAATACAGAGTAAGCAGGGAAGACTCAAGACAACCAAACATCAGCATGGCCCACAAAATAGCAGACCCTATGCCAGGAGCAAAGATGACCCCAATTTCTGACACTGAAGCCAAAGGAAGAAAGCCTTTACAGGATTACTGTCCTGGATGTAGGCAAAATACAGAATTAGAGGGCAGGTGTAACAACAGAGAGGGAGATGCCAACTTGTGATTATCTGTCAGCAGACAGAGCTTGAATCTTTAGTGTATACAAACATATTCTATGATGGTGGATATCCAGGAGAGAGGATTCAGGCTTCAGATACAGGAAGTCATTCTGGTGGCTGGTACATACAGGGAATTAGAGTGCTGATTAGACATTAGCAGAATGTCACTGTGGGAGTCTTCATAGAAGACAGAGCTCAGGCTTTGAGAATGAATTAAACTTTTGACATGAGAATCAAGCTGATGATAGAAGATGAAAAGGCAGGAGAGCAGGGGGTGAATAAGATAAGAGGTACCCTCAGAGACCAGGTGTGTGGGGCTTTCACACGAACTAAGGTGGGGTGAATATCAGGAAAGAAAATCAAAAGGGGCAGGGATATGCCTCAGGAGAGGGCAGTGCTAAGTACAAAGCCATCTATGTGGGTAGTGAGGGGAATTACAAAGCAAATTAAGGTGGAGAACAGGAAGTGAGATAAGCGATGAGCAGGCTGGGAATACCAGAACTGGGTAAGATATCAAGGTTCTAGCTAGATGAGATGAACTGTAATAGATCCAGAAAACAGAAAAAAGAAGGACATTATCCTTTGATAGTAGGTAAAGAATAACAGTTCCACTAGGGATGAGCAAAGATGCAGAAAGGCTTTGATTAGTGTTCTGGGTCACTGATTAGGAAGTTCCCTAAAAAAACAGCATTTCAAAACCATCAACCAGCTCGGCACCTGAAGCTCAAGTGGCTAGGGTGCCAGCCACATATATCAGAGCTGGAGGGTTTGAATCCAGCCCAGGCCCGCCAAACAACAATGACAACTACAACCAAAAAATAGCCAGGCGTTG